ATGCAGACCAACCTGTCCCCACCCCATGCCGCCCACCATCTCCCCCAGCTGGTAGACATTCTGGGACTCAGGTTAACTTTTCTTTAGGGACACCTGGTGTGGGATCACTCAGTCACCTCATTCCCTGAAGAGCCTTTCTGCCAGGGTGAGGCTAGATATAGATATACTCACCACCGGGACTGTCTTTAGGTCCATCCGCCCACACCCAAAGCTGCACTGGGCCGGGGACTTGGTCTACCTTGTTTCCCACTGCATTGCCCGTGGGGAGCCTTGTGCCTGGCCCACAGGAGCCCCTCAGGGGACATTTGTGGAACATTGGAGCAAACAGGGCAGAGATCTAACCACCAGTGTCATCTCCAACTGAATGTGACACACAAAAGCACCAAGGCACATGTTGTCCGGGCAGGAAGAGTCTGTAGCTGTAAATAAGTGTCTGCTCCCAGAAACGCTCGGCAGAGAACCAAGAGCCTTTTAATAGGTGCCCTTAGGCTTCTGACACTTCAATTATGATTTACTTTGGCAAGGGTGAGCAGCAAAATGGGTGTTAGGGTGTTATTTAATTTGTCGTTTGAAGTATTAGTGCACATATGCATTACTACCTACAGATGTATTTGGGGCATGACTATTCTGAGCATTCTGATGTTTGGCATCCTTAACTGCTCTCCCCGAAGCAGCTACTAAGTTCCGGACACACGACACCCCTACCTAGGATAAGGCAGGTGAACCTCTTGGGCCTCAAAATCTACCGAGATGCCAACAGATACTCAGTAATCGAGATAATAATTCAATGTAATAATTTTAGAAAGTCATAGCAGCAAGCTATGGCCAACGGAGCAGTCACTTGGTTTTGTGAATAAAATTTCATGGAATCAGGGCCAGGGTGAGCCTGAGGGGTGCGAGGCAAGTAGTGCCAGCCCTGGATCAGATCTGGTGTTTATTTACAATTTCGATATTCTGTCCCTTGTGGATTTTTGCATTAATTTTGATTTTGCAAACTATTGCATGAAAGCATCCTTTATCTTGACTACTGCATTTTTTTGGAGCCCTCACTTAAATTTTGTGCCCAACATGAATGCCTCACTTGTTCTTCCTAGTCCTGGCCCTGCCCCAAACACACCATGTTTCCCACCCACCTGCTGTGGGAGGCACTGGGAGCTGTATCATCTTCAGCAAATATGGTTTCCCTCTGCAGGCCGGTTTACAGATAGGAAACAGGCTAGAGAGGTGTGTGTCTCTGCCCTCACACACTTGCTAGAAGGTCCTCAGCTTCAGAGAACCTGCAGGTTAGAGGGGAGGCCAAAATGCAGACAGTAAGAATAGGCTGGCTCTTTGCTTCCACCTGGATACAGTGGGCGCAGGCCTTAGCTTCAGGGGGGAGCAGAGAGATGGCAAAGGGACAAGGAGGAAGCGGGTGAGCGGCCCTGCCTGGGCCACTCACACCTGGCCTGACCTGACCCAAGACAGGATCTGAGTGGCCCCCTGCTCTCCAACCTGGAGGGGATCCTTCGGACCTTGGGTCAACATGCTGTGTATAAGCCTTGGAGACAGAGATAAAATACCTGGCCTTCCCCTAAGTCGGTGGAGAATTCACACATGAAACTAGGTGGGTGCCAGAAAGGACACCTGCAGCAGGTATTACAGGAGCAGAGGGGAGGGAACCCCACCTGGCTTAAGGACGGGGGCATTCAAAACTGGCTTCGGAGAACAGAGAGTATTCGAGCTTTTAAAGACTGAGTAGGAGTACAAGATGAGTAAGTAAGCAATGTGTAGGAGTGAGGAAGGTAGCAAGGATGGGGGAGCGCTCCGGACCAAGGGGAGGGCAGGGGCAGAGGCCGGTGAGCTGCTCTGCTGGTAACAGTAGCCAGAGAGGGAGCTGGTGACAAAACACGAGGCTTCCCGGAGACTGAAGTTTGTGGCGGGAGCCGACGGGGTGGGGAAGGGGGGTCCTGGGTCAGCAGGGCAGGCTGGAGGTGGGCCACTTCTCCTAGCTGGCGGGACCTGGTCTAGGTCTCACCCTCAGGTGCCTTCCTCACAGGGGAAGTGCAGACTTGAGCTCATGGTCTTGAGTGAGATGCTCCTGAAAGCCATCGGGTGCCCACTGCGTGCCAGGTAGAGCCTCTGCCAGGCGCTCCCACCAACATCCTCTCCCTTCCTTCCCCGGCCTGAGTATACCACCCCTTGGGGGAGGGAGGGTAAGGTTCCTGCCACTGCCCTTCCTGCTTTCCTGCTCACCCTGTACCAGCGGGACGTGAAGATGGGATGATGAGACGGGGAACAGAAACCATTGCTGCTGCCAGCATCCTTTCGCCCCTACGTTGACCCTCCTGAGTTTGGGTCAAACTTGCAACAACATTGAGGAAACATCTATGGCTTTGGCTTGGTTGCCACTTCCCATTCACCTCTAGTGGGAACCAGGGAAGGAGTTAAAGACAAAACAGTACAGGATGGATTTGTAGCATGTAATGTTATGCAGCCAGTGAATAAGCCATTTCTGCATTTTGAAAATAACTTTGGAGAAATGTGCAGAGCGTCATTTGGGTGAAAATGCACCATGTGAGTTGTAACTCTGTCTTCTAGCTATCTATATCTTTAGTTGCTCCATAACTCTATCTGCGTAAGACTAGAAGGAATTAACCTCAGGAGAGGTTATCTCTGGTGGGTAGGGTTATAGGTGGTTTCATTTCCTTCCTTGTTTCTATATGGTGTAAATTTTCTATAATGAATGCATTGTAGGAGAGGCGGTGAAGCATAACAGCTTAAAAAGGCAGGCTGCCTGGCTTTGAATCCGGGCTCCTCAACTTATCCACCTTTGTGACCTTGGACAAGTCACTTAACCTCTTGTTCCCAGTTTCCTCATCCATTAAGTAGGGAAACTAATAACTATTTAGTTTATTAGTAGCTTCTTAGGAGGATCACAAGAGCTCATATTTGCCATGAACATTTCATTTGTGTGCACAGTGGCTGGCACATACTAGGCACTATGTGTTTGTTAAATAAAAGCAAAATTACTTTTATAGAAAATGTAAAAAGATTAATTTTAAAACTACCCAAGTAATACAGGAACATAATCTTTTTGTAAGGAGGAACACTGGAAATTTTTAAGTGAAATGGTCCTTGGAGACAGAGGAGTTTACAGCCTGCTTGGTTTCACATTAAAAAAATATTTTAGTGTTAAGGCAGGAGCAGAAAGTCATGAGAAGTGTGTGGGTGGCATTCCAGGGACAGTCCCCTCCCTGGTCTCTCCACTGACGCGGATTATCCAAGAGCACTGGCTGATCTGGCACCCAGAAGCCCCCCTCTGTGATACGCTCACCTGGAGGCACATGCCAAGCCATGAGCAAAGAACCCTGACATTCCGGTTTGCCGTCCAGCCGCACCGACTGGCAGGCCTGCTTGCCATTTGGCTTTTTGAAATACTGAAAGGTATTTGACCTCCCAGGACTGTCTTGTGGATCTTTAGGAAGCCTAGGAACTGCAAATAGAGAACTGTTTAGGAAAGCAAAGAACAGCCCTCTTATGTTCTCATGTGGACTTGTTCCTGAGGGTGTCATGGTGCCAGCATCACACACCACCCTACAACTAAGTGTCCTTCAGAGCCAGAAGGAGCTGGTGAGGGGAGCCCCCCAGGAGCTCTCCGGTGGGGAAGGAATCGGGTCCATGCAGCTACAGCAGATGCCTGCTGTCTCCTTGGGTCACAAATTCACCACCTCAGCGTTTCTAGACCTCAGCCCAGTGATGGGTTGCGGTCCCTTGTGCAAAGAAGAATGAAAACTAGAGGGTAGGAGGCAAGATTTAGGCATTTTGATATGAGAGGGCTCTCCTTCATATTGGGGAGATTTAGCTTTTGTCTCTACACATCAGCTCGGAGAATAGTGACTGGAATGGGTGCTAAGTGAAGGCTCCAGGGAGGAAAGTCAGTAAGAGACCCTGAGGCCCAGAGAAGCCAAAGCGCCCCCTACCCAAGACCCTGAGAACACAACCTACACCCACTGCGCGTCCTGCTGCGTGACCCACTCCACCCGGGCTGCAGAATGACCCCTCTTGATGAGAAACTAGGGTTACCAATCTCCCTGACAGGCCAGGCCTGACTGGAATCCAGGCATGCTTCAGTGGGGTGCCATTTGGCCTGGTTTTGCACTGTGTTGCCCTAAGGATTTTCTCCTGACTTGTATCATTTCCTCTTTAGAGCCAATCATTAACCTTATGGAGGGCCGAGGCAGGAGAGACCACAGGAACGAGCAGCTGGTGCAGGCTGGAAATGCCCAGGTGTGTTCTACAGGGGGACAGAGTCCTCAGGGTTCCTGGGGCAGTGGCCTGGCTTGGGTCCAGCCTCTCCTGCAGACTTCTACACACCTTGCTGGGCAGGTTGGGATGCAGGGGCCTGGATGTGCAGGGAGCCCCTGTACTTTTGGGCAGTGCTACCCTCTGGGACCTGAGCGGTGGGGGGGCCTATGGCCCTGGGAGGAAACCAGCTTTCAGAAGCACTGAGGGGCTGGGGTGTGATTTCAGGTTTGCCCGCCCGGGACAGCCCCAGTTTTGCCTCCTCTTGGCTGTAAACCACCAGCGGTGAGAGAAGTTCAAAGCTCTGCTCTGGGCAATAGTTGGCGGCCCTCGCCTGGTCCTAGGCCCTCAGCCTTGCTCTTTTGGATCCGAGATAGGCCTGGATTCCTCAGATTAACCTCCCAGCCCCCAGTTAACCCAGTACTCAGACAGAACACCCCAACCCCAGTCTCTCAGGTGCCACCTGGAGGGGAGGAGTCCTGGAGAAGCCCCCTGGCCTATGCGCTGCCCACTCTCAGTCACAAGACTTTTGGGGACAGGTCCCTGGGCCCCTGGTGCTGAGCAGCCCCTGGTTTTGGGTAGACAGGACCAGCCTGAAGAACCAAGGCCAGGGGCCTCTGATGGGTTGCGGGTCTGAGTGGGGGGGGCTTGCCCACCCGGGTCAGGAATCCCCGCTCCGGCGGGCCCAGGACTGTACCCTGGTCACGGGGCAACTTCAGCCTGGTTCAGAGCCCCTCTCTTGCAGCTGCGGGGACGGAGGGCTCCGCCTGTGTCCTGGGATTCCCGGGGCCCCGGGGCGGGCGCCTCAGGGGAGGCCCGGGCTGCGGGTTGGAGGCAGGTTCCCTGGGCCATGCCGTGCGACGGCCACCCTCCCGCGCGAGCAGAGCTGCAGTCCAGCTTTATTGGCGTCGCCTACGCCCCGGGCGCTGCCTGAGCGTGACGGAGGCGGCGCTGCTGACCGTGACCGCGGGGTAGAGCGGCTCCAGGAAGGAGACGAGGAAGCGGTAGAGGAGGCTCAGGCTGCCCGCCACGCCGTAGAAGGAGGCAGCCGGCACCACAGCCGAGCGCCACGCCGAGCGAGCGGTGGTAGGAGCCGTGCAGCACCGTCTGTGTGTTGTTGTGCCACACGGAGAACTTGAGCGAGTCCCACTCCAGGCACCACGAGTAGGGGTTGCGGCCCAGCAGGTGGACGATGTTGCGGCGCGGGCGGCCGCTGAGCGTTGGGCGGCGGCGGTAGGTGACGCCCAGGCACACCCACGAGTTGGACACCTCGACCTCCCAGTAGTGGCGGCCCTCGGACAGGCCGCGCGAGCACAGCACCTGCGGCCACTGCTTGAAGCCCGCGAAGGGGCCGCCCGCGGCCGTAACATCCTCCAGGAGGATGCCCAGGTTCAGCACTGAGTGCGTTTCCTTGAACAGGAACAGCTCCTCGCTGGCTGTGGTGGGGTCAAAGTTCAGGTTGCAGTACCCCGGGGGAAGGGAGGTGGGAAGGGGAGCCAGGGTCACAGGCCCAGGGCAGAGCAAGGGGGTGCTAAGTTACATGGCAGTTGCATAGACGTCACTGAGTGCCTCCCTCCCCCACCCTCTTGCCTCCTAGAAGTGGCCCTCTGCCCTCTCACCCCACCAAGTTCCCCACTCAGGTGGCAGGGTCACTGACAGTCTGGAGAAAGGAAGAGTAGGGCGCTGTCCAGAGGTCCACCTGTCCAGAAGTTGAGAACAGAGTCCCCCTCCCGGTCCCCACCGGACTCTAACTTCATCTCCCTCTTCATTCATTCAGTCCTCAAGATTGAAGGGGGTTGAGGGAGAGTCAAGGGCTCCTGGTGGAGGCAACTCAGAGGCAAAGCCACTCTGACCCACAAGATCTCAGAGAAGTCACTGGGATGTGGCCTCCAGCCCGACCTGGGAGAAGGGCTGCAGGGGCATCAAATGAAAAGGGGAGATCGTCAGAGGAAGAAACGGACAGGGTCATCCAAGCTGGTTCGGCTGAAGCACAGAGTCTGGTGGGCACCCAGCTGAGAACAGAAGTTGTGCACACAAGCTCTAGAGAGGTGCAGGGTGGCCTCTGGGCAGTGCACAGGGCCTTGCTCCACCCTGGAGGTGCGACAGGACAGTCCTCGCCCCTTCCTATCAGGGCCTGGTTGCTGCAGGCTTAGTCCTGATGAGTAGGAGGTCAGGGCAAGAGAGAGCTGGCCCTGGCCTGAACGGAGGTGGGGGTGGGGAAGTTGATGCACCCACAGGCCTGCTCTTTTCCTTTCCACCCCTGGGGCTGGAGATTCTGAGGACTCACATTTGAGAAGTGTGTGCCTGTCCATAGCTGGGGGCAGTACTTCATAGGAGTTCATCTCAATGCCTGGAGGAGATGGGGGGTGGCTTTTGTGAGGACACTCTCAGAGCCCAGCGTCCTTCCAGAGAGAAGTATGGCTTCCAGGAGACAGCCTCACCAGGGGAAGGTGCCCACAGGCAGGCAGGGCTCTCTACAAGTGCCTGGGACCACAACTACCGCCCTGCAGGGCAGCCCCACCCCAATGCAGGTGGGTCTCCAATGGTCCCCGGCTGCCAGGTACTGACCCTTCTGGAGGAGCTGGTTGATGAAGCTGACACCCACGTCCCCCAGCTGGGTCTGGAGCTCTGCCAGGTTCTCTGGCAAGTGGAGGAAGGTATGCTTCTCCTCAAAGTTGATGCCCATTAGGGGTTCCTTGCAAGCTGGGAAGTGCATCAGCCTGCGGAACTCTTGCATGCAGGGAGAAGACACCTGTTAGCCAGGGCCCAGGTAGATGCCAGGAGCTCCTGCTTATGCCAGGGGCTCAGTGGTCCCCAGTACCATGGGGCAGGTAGAGAAGTTGCCTGATTCCAAACTTGGACATCTCTCTCCCCTCCTGGTTGTTTGAATAACTTCGGTTGGGGCTTTGCTAAATGCACTGTGGCCTAGTGTGTTAAGTAAAGCAGATTTTTAGAAAACAATGGGAGAATTTCTGTTGAGCTAAGAGTTTAGTGAAAAACCTTGCCAAATGCATCCTGTTGTGCCTTGGGGACAAGGTGAGCAATAGCCCTGCTCAAGGGTGTGATAGCCACTGAAGAACCATCTGGGCTAGGAATCCCCAAGCATAGGGTATAGGCAGCCTCGGGCCCCATCCCTAGTGAAGTCTGTGGCCACCCCCAGCCCCCTGCCAGCCCCCTTCTTGGTACCCTCTTGCAGCAGCACCTGACCAGGATACTGGGCCAGGCCAGGGCCAAGGAAGGAAAAGGCAATTCAGGCCATACAGATAGTTCTGCTCGCACCTCCAGCCCTGGTCTCAGGGGTCTGTAGAAACTTAGAGTATCTGAGATGCCCGGAATCCCAGGGTATACCCCATCTGGCCCAGGGGAATGAAGGCAGGGAAGGTAGGTATGGCTGAGTGGTGAGGTAGAAGAGGAAGCCAAGGGTGTTGGTGGAAGCTCAGGATGAACGACCTGGGATGAGGGGGTGCCCTGAGTCAGGGGAAATGGACGAAATGATGCAGCTCCAAATGCTGATCACTTCAGCCAAGGTCTGGGCAGATGTGGGTGTCTGTGGGTAGAGGGGGACAGCAGGTTGTGACAGGGCCAGGGGCAGAGATGAGGGTGAGGTTGGGGTAGGGCAGGGACACGGGACAAGAGTCATGTCATTGTAAAACCTACTTAGCCTGTGAAAAAGGCCCAGTTTATTCTGTAACTTAATCTGTAGGCTGTTCTTCCTCCTCTTCCAGCCCCTTAATCAATTAAATAGCTTTGTAACCAGGACAGGAGATAGACCTCCAAAGTATAAATGAACCTATGGGGATAAAGAATGCTGATCTGGACCAACACAGTCACCCAAGTAACCCTATACTTGAGACAAAATTTCATGAATCACCTGTATACATCATGCCTTACGCTGACTCCTACCCAAAAGGCCCTATAAAACCCCAAGCCCTAAACCCTCAAGTGTGCCTTGTCTTTGAGGTCGCCCACACTCCTGAGATCAAATAAACTTTCTTGTTGCATCAACTGACTGCACTTGTATCTAAACTCTACTCCATGATAAAGACAAGAACTCGCCAACCTCAGCCTCTGGTGGTAAATATGTGCGTCGTTTTGCTGTTTCGTTCAGCTTCCTAGCCTTGGCACAATCCTTTTCTCTCTCCCTGTTTTATTTCAGACCAGTAGGGCAGTGGAAATTCTCAGAACATCATCTCACTCCAGTGCTCTGCAGCTCCCTCAAATCCTGGGATGGTAGGGGTTTAGTTCCCACGCCGTGCAGATTCAAGTGGACACTGGATGCCAGGTGACTCTGGCATTAGGAGCTGGCTAGGGATTTGCCCTATGCCGAGCAGTTCAGTGAGCTTCCCTTCCCTACCTGTTCTTCCTCTCTGCTGCCTGCAAAGCAGCTAGCTGCCATTCGCTGCTGCTCTCACTTTAATGAATTCCTTCCTTACCTACACTCGTCCAACCTGCTTGAGAATTTTTTCTTGTTCAGAGTCGAGAACCCTCCCCCATCCGGGTTGAGGTTTCACTTAGTGCGCAGGGAGACCCCCCCAAGGCGCAGCTGTGCGACAACATGGTGGGGCCTTGCCTGCAGAAATTGCTGGTCGTTCCTGTTGGTGAGCAGGGTGTGGAGCCAGATGCTGTCCCCCTCCAGCTTCAGGAGCCGATTGTGGCTCTGCTGGATGGAGCTGCCCAACTTTCCTAGGGCAGCTGCCACCTCTTTTTCCACAAAATCCAAGACCTTCCCCTGCAGCTGTTTGATCTCCTGGATGATCTCTGAGAAGCAGCTGTTCACCGCATCGCCTGTTGTCTGGATCCGTTTCTGGTGGGACGGGGCAAGGAGGAAGTAGGAGGGAGCGGAGAAGGGCATCTCTGAGCGCTGCCTGCATGCCCCCGTTGTCACAGCTTGAAGCCAGCCTAGGCATCCATCTCTGGCCCCACACCATCCACTCCTGGCCCTAAGAGATCCTGGAAACCTGGCACGGGGTGCTGGGGAAGCCTGGGCCTGGGCCCTGTGTGGGCCAACCTTACCGAGAGAAAGGCCACCTGCTCCTGGTGCTTCTGGCTGTTGGAGGTGATGATTAGCATCTGGTTCTCCACATTGGCCAGCATCTTCCGAACCTCAACCTGGGGTGGGAGGGTGGGTGGAGTTGGGGAGGGCCCTTGATTCAGAGAGGTGGCCTCAGAGAAGCCATTCTGCAAGCAGCCTCCTGGCAAATCCCAGAAGAGACACAACCTCTTACTTTTTTAAGAGGCCTAAATGAGACTGTGAAAGAGCAGAGCAGAAGGGTGGCTGGCCCCAGGTCTTCCCCTCTGCTCTTCCTCTCTCACTCCCTGAGAGTGTCTCCCCATTCATAACAATCAGTCCTGACAGTGATGACCACAGAGTTGTAGGTCACAGAAGGGGCTGTGGAGGGTTCAGTGGCTTGAGAAACATGGGAGGCCATGGGTCATGGAGGGGCCATCAGAATGGAGCCCTGGGCTCTCTGGGGCAATGCTGTCAGGCCCAAGCAGTGCTGTTCCCAAGGCCTCCCACAGAAGCCTTTAGTGTCGGTCTGTTTCAGCAACTGGCATTTTCATGTTTGATAGTATATTACAGAACTGTGCTTTCCAGTGCCTGTCCATGAACTGCTGCTGACAGCCAAAATAAGAAGCTAATCTAATGCCAGACTGTAAATCAACACACTGCTTCCTTTGTTGAGAAAGTCTTGCTATGAAAAAAGTGCCAGCTAAACTGAACAGCGTGATGGGTTGGTTCAGATTCTGGCACAAGCTCCTTGCCACATTAATGGGTGGCTATGTTGGAATAGGACTGCTACAGAACATACATGATAGGATGTCCAGATTGTAAGTATTCCACTATAAAAAGCACTACAAATATATTAAACAAAATTTGAAAAAAAGATGAAAGGAGGGGATTCACCCTGACATGACATGTTTGTATTCTGATGTCTGCTTTCAGCCTTGCCTTTCTCTGTGTAAAAAATTTGCATAGGATTCATACATGTGATCTTGGATCCTTATTCATTTAACTTGCCAGCACTTTTTCATGGCATGGCATGAACCATCGCTTTAATAGCTGCATAATTCTCCTCCAAGGAAACGCCAGGGCTTGTGAAAGACTCCAAAACATGAGTCCCCTGGCTCCTTCCCAGCCCCATCTCCGGGCCGCACCTCCTTGTGGGCACGCTTCTCCTCCAGGGGGACAGTGTCATGGTTCCTGTGCTCCTCCAGCAAACAGACCCCACACACGCAGCTGCCTTCTGTGCGGCAGTACAGCTGCTGCAGCTTGTGGTGATTCCGGCACAAGCGGTTCTTGAGATCCCACATGGGATCCAGCAGCTGGTGGTCCTGGAACATCGGGTCCTCAAAGTGACTGTGCAGGTGCTGCTCACACAGGGAGACCATGCACTGCAGGCATGACTTGATGGCCTCGAGCTTCTGAGGGGAACAGAAGTCACAGGTCACATCCCTGGGCCTGGCCAGTTTCTGTGGGGACTGCAGGGTCTGGCCCTTGGCCTGAGTGAAGCAGGTCACCATCTCCTCCAGGTTGACATTCTTGGAGAGGTGCGGCCTGGAGGGGAAGCTCTCTCGGCACTCGGGGCAATAGAGCATCTCGCCCATGGCAGCCTGGTGGTCCCAGAAACTGTGGAGGCATGCCATGCAGAAGTTATGTCTGCAGGCAGTGGTGACTGGGTTGCAGAGCACCTCCAGGCAAATGCAGCAGAGGACTTGGTCCTCAAAGGTGCGGAGGCTGCTGTTACTCATCAGGAGCTGCCTTGGGGAGGTCTTGAGGCCTGGGCAGGAGGCTGAAGGGCTGGGACGCAGTCCTGGACTGGCCCTGGGGAGATAAAGCAAAGCCATGCAGAAGCCAAGGCAGGAGCTGAAGACCATTGAGGGGTACACCAGTTCTCTTAGAAGCAGCTGTCTGCTCACGGGGTAAAGGGACTGTGTCATCGGTCAACATAACACATGGGGATAAACATTGGGGATCGTGTTCTCCTTGTTCCAGTCCTAATTCCTAGAACAAATCTTGGACAAGAGGGCAGATGGGCAGAAAGTTGTCACAATGCAAGGGAAAGGAGCCACTTCCTTGGGCCTTCAGATGAAAGGTGGGAAGTACAAGTACTTATGTGAAACTCTCTTCATGGCAGGGAGAGCCAGAGGCTCGGCGGCCCTGTGGTGGGAGGGAAGAGAAGCCTTCGGCACTCGGGCGCAGGAGCTGGCCCTTGGGCCCACTTCACCAGCTGCTGGGAGGTCCCCATCGGTCCAGGGTGCCCCACCCGAGCCATTCACATCTCCTGGGGTCTGACAACCATGTTCTCACCTTTCCCTTCGGCTGTTGTTTTGCAGTCTCCTTACAAGTTGCCCTTCCTCCTCAAAGACTGCCTGCAATTTTGCTTCGACATCACAATTCAAGCATTACCAGCCCTAGACTGTGCTTGTGATGTCAGCTGGACAAAAGGCATACCACTGGGCAGCGAGTGGTGCTGCTGCGTTCTCTCTGCAGGTGATGCTTTACTCCAGAGCCTCCATCCCAGGAGGCAGAGTCACTCCTACGCCTGTGGGCCACTGGCAGCAGTCTTAAGGGACTCCCATTACTTCATTAAGAATGAGACTTTTGTCTAATTCTTCTGCATCTTTTGAGATGATCATAAGCTTTGCCTCTTTTATTCTGCTAATTGTGGCAAATTTATATTTACTGATTTTCAGTTATTAAACCAACCTTGCATTCTGGAACGAACTCTAGTTGGTCATGATGTGTTGTGCTTTTTACATATGCTGGATTCAATTTGTTAATATTTTCTTAGGATTTTTGGATCTATGGTCTGAAATTGGCCTGTAATTTTCCTTTTATGTAATGTATTTGTCAGGTTTTGGTATTAAAGTATGCCAGCTTCATAAAATGAGTTGGGAAGTATCATTATTTGGAAGAGTAAGATTGCTATTCTTTTTTCCTAAATGCTTGGTAGAATCCATTGGTAAAGCCGCCTAGGCGCAGAGTGTTTTTTGTGGAAAGGTTATTAATTACATATTTAATTTCGTTCAGAAATTTGAATTATTCATATTATGTTTTGGTATTAATTTTGGTAAATAGTGTTTTCCTAGGAATTTGTCCATTTCACCTAAATTTCCAAAGTTTTTGGTGTAAAATGGTTTTTAATACCCATATAGCTTTTAACACAAAAAGATTTACATTTTAACCACTTTTATGTACAGCTCAGTGGTACTAAGTACATTCACAATGTTGTGCGACCATCACCACTATGTCCAAAATCTTTTCATCACCCTTCCCAGCAGAAACTTGCTAACTTTTAAGCATTAATTCCCCATTTCCCCTTCCCTCCAGCCCCTGGTAACCTTTATTTTCTATCCCTATGAATTTACCTATTCTAGATATTCATCTGAGCAAAATCATACATTTGTTGAGTCTTGCTTATCTCAGATAATGTTTTTAAGGTTCATCCATGTTATAGCATGTGTGTCAGAAATTTATTACTATTTATGGCTGTATAATATTCCACTATATACATATAGACCACATTTTGTTTATCCATTCAACTGTTGATGGACACTTGGGTTACTTCTACCTTCTTGTCATCCTGAATAATGCTGCTACGGGCGTACAAATAACTGAGTCCCTCCTTTCAATTCCTTTGGGTATATACCTAAGAGTGGCACTTACAATTCTTAAGTAAAACTGTAGGTTCTGTAGTTATGTCTCCTCTTTACATTCCAGATAATGTTTATATTTCTTCTTGATGAGTCTCACTAGTTTATCAAACCTTATTAGTCTTTTTAAAGAATTGGCTCTTGGTATTAATGGTTCTATTGTTTGTTTCCTATTTCATTGATTGATTTCCACTCCTATTTCCTTCCTCTCACTTTCTTTGGGTTGAATTTGTTGTTCTAAGTTCCTGATATTATGTTTATATAATGATTTTTAGCCTTTCTTCCTTATTAATACATACATTTTCCCCTTTAAGTGTGGTTTTTACTGCTCCCTAAAGTGTATTATCATTATCATTCAGTTCAAAATATTTTCTAATTTCTATTGTGACTTCTTCTTCTATCCATGAGTTATTTAGAAGCATTTTGCTTAATTTCCAAAAATACAGGTATTTTCTAGTTATGATCTTTTATTATTTATTTCTAACTTGATCCCACTATCATCAGGTAATATAACTGATTTAAATTCTTTTGAATTTTTTTGAGAATTGCTAGATATACAGCTCAGAACATGGTCAATTTAGGTAACTGTTCCACATGCACTTAAAAGTTCAGAATGTGTGTTCTGTAGTTGGTGTAGTATTCTACATATTTGAGTAATGAGGTTTGTAAATCATTTTCTTAAAAGCATCTATGTCCCTATTGATTTTTTGTCTTTTTTTACCTTTTAATTTTACTTCCTATTTTATTGAGGTATAAGTGATATAAGAAAACTGCATATATTTAATGTATACAATTTGATGAGTTTGGTTATATGCATGAAACCAACGCCATTTCCATCATCCCTGAAAGTTCCCTTGCATCCTTTCATTTTTTGTGGTAAGAACATTTAATGTGAGATCTTCCCTTTTAACGAGTTTTTGAGTGCGCCGTACAATATTGTTAACTACAGGCACTATCTCTAGAGCTTATTGTATAACTGAAACTTTATACCAATTAAATAATAATTCTCCATTTTCCCCACCTCCATGTCCTGGTAACCACCATTCTATTCTCTGCCTGTACGGGTTTGATTATTCTGGGTACCTCCTACAAATGATTCACCCAATATTTGTTCTTCTGTGGCTGGCTTATCTCACCTAACATAATGCCCTCCGGGTTCATCTCCATTGTGGTAAAGGCTAAGATTTCCTTTTTTGAAAGGCTGAATAGTATTCCGTTGTGTGACTATATCATATTTTCTTTATCCATTTACCTGTCCATGGACATTTGGGTTGTTTCTATTTCTTGGTTATTGTGACTAATGCTGCAGTGAGCATGGGTGTGCAGATATCTCTTCAAGATCCTGATTTCAATTCTCAAGGATATCTACCCAGAAGTGGAATTGTTGGGTCGTACAGTAGTTCTATTTGTAATTTTTTGAGGAACCACCATACTGCTTCCCACAGCAATTGCACCATTTAACCCCAACAGGGTAGAAAGGGTAGAAGTGTTCCAGTTTCTCCACATCCTCACCAGCACTTGACATCTTTCAGGTTTTGATCACCTTTTCTCCTGTGTGTGCATACTTTCTTACCTGCATGTTATCTCTAGGGTCTTCTTTTTTTTTTTTTGGATATCGTTAATGTACAATTACTTGAACATTATGGTTACTAGACTCCCCTTATTATCAAGTCCCCCCCACATACCCCATTACAGTCACTGTCCATCAGCGTAGTAAGATGCTATGGAGTCATTACTTGTCTTTGTATATACTGCCTTTCCCGTGTCCCCCCCACTACATTATGTGTACTAATCGTAATGCCCCGTTTCCCCCCTTATCCCTCCCTTCCCACCCACCCTCCCCAGTCCCTTTCCCTTTGGTAACTGTTAGTCCATTCTTGGGTTCTGTGAGTCTGCTGCTGTTTTGTTCCTTCAGTTTTTGCTTTGTTCTTATACTGCACAGATGAGTGAAATAATTTGGTACTTGTCTTTCTCAGCCTGGCTTATTTCACCGAGCATAATACCCTCTAGCTCCATCCATGTTGTTGCAAATGGTAGGATTTGTTTTCTTCTTATGGCTGAATAATATTCCATTGTNTAGTGCTGCAATAAACACAGGGGTTCATGTGTCTTTTTCAAACTGGGCTGCTGCATTCTTAGGGTAAATTCCTAGGAGCAGAACTCATGGGTCAAATGGTATTTCTATTTTTAGTTTTTTGAGGAACCTCCATACTGCTTTCCACAATGGTTAAACTAGTTTACATTCCGATTTTTTGTCTGTTTTACTAGCTGCTGAGAGATGTGGCATAATTCCTAGTATCATTATGGATTTGCCTACTTTTCCTTTTAGTTCTATCAATTTTGAAGCTAGGTCATTAGAAATACACACACATAATTATTATGTTTTCCTGGTGAATTGTAGCTTTACCATTATTAAATTTTTATTACTCAATTTCCTCCTATTATTTTGGTAGTTGTACTTTTTTGTTTTTTTGGGTAGCTACCTGAGAAGTTATAACATGCATCCATGGCTTATCAAAGTCTAATACAAAGTGTTATTTTTATCTCTTCTTAGATAATGGAAACTTTAGAATAGCTTAATTTCACTTATATCACCCCAACTTTTCTATTGTTATGTACTTTAATCCTATTTTAAAACTATAAGGCACTATTAAATGGTCAATATTTATTTAGATCAATCCACATTTATCTCAATTCCTCTCCATTACTTCATATGTCTTTAGCTCCCATCTTCCCAGATTTCCCGTTTCCTTTTCCCCTAAGGAACACATTTTAGTATTTCCTTTAGTATAAGGTCTGCAGGTGCCCAACACTCCCAGGTTTGGGTTGTCAAAGATGCCTTTACATCATCTTCATTCTTGAAGGATATCTTCATTGAGAATGGAATTTGAGGTTGGCAGCTATTTTCTTTCAGCACTTTAGAGATTTAATTCCACTGTCTTCTGGTTTATATTTTTTCTGTTGAGAAGTTGGCTGTCAGTTTTATTGCTGCTCCTTTGGAAGTAATCTTTCCCCCCTTCTGGTGGCTTTTAAGATATTCTCTACATTTAGTATTCATCAGTTTTATTATAATGTAGCCATATATGTTTTTATTTGTCCTTAGGATATGTAGC